TTATATTATTTTTGGAGATATCAAAATGATATATAACATAGCTATTTATTGAATTAGATAGCTGCTGAATCGAACAAGAATATCAATTCAGAACGTTAAAGTTATTAACGAAATAATTGTAAAACCAAATATTTTAACAGTTCGTCGACTGAGCTTTGGAACTTTCATTCGTCAATAGTATCTACTTTTAGCCTCAGTTCTCTTGATGTTTCTCATTGAGAACATGTTGCAAGTCCACAGTGGCAATTTTCAGGAAGCGTTGAACACACAAGTTCTGATCGTAAATACTATTGCGAGCTTTAACATGATGATCATTTAACTAATATTCACTGTCGGTGACTTCAACATCAATGCTAAAGATGATCCATATATGGACTTTCTACGTAACTTGATATGTTTCAGTAGATGGCCCTAGGCGAAAAACAAGGTGTATATTTCATTAGTCCTAGTCGGACCTGTTATCTCATCCGCATCGCCTTTTACTTTTTGAAATCAATCTAACAACATGTGAATGTGCAAAATTCCGGAAAAGTAAAACTTTGCGGCGTGAGAAACAGCCGGCTGAACCTTTGCATTTCCTCGCTGTTTTACGTTTCTATTTAGCAACCGGGATTTGAGTGGGTCAAGCCATACTTCAATTATCATAAAATATTTTTTTCTGTGCGTTAAAATCGGCTTAATAAAATAATGCAACCGCAAGTGTTGGGCATGTTTGATGGCAATTCAAAGTATAAGAAGCGGAAGAGGTTCGAATCAATTCTGTCGAAGTTCTAGTCAAGTGAACTATTTTCCGCATGCAATCAGGCTTCATTGTAAATCTTACTTGGATATTAAATTGAAGATTACCTAATTTAAATGTGTAAATATCAACACTTAGGTCCACTGTCACAATATTCCTTTAGTCAGCTAATTTTCAGTTTAGAGTGTTTGGCCAAAGCCATTCAAAGTCAGATAGATGGCCAGTGTTTCTGTATTAAGCTATGTTTTAGGATTAATTACAATGTTTGAAATAATAAAAACTAAATATGTTTTTCTGATACATCCAGAGGCAGTCCACATTATTAATTTTTGTCGACATTGAATATTCAATTAAGTTGAAATTGTAACAGGATTACAATTAAAATTACGTTGAAAACATAGCTTTTCAATATAAACAAAAAATGAAGACTTTTGTTTGCTTCGGTTCTAAGCCAGCAATCTGTTGACTACTTACAGGTTTCGATGTCTCCAAAATTTGAGAATTTCATAAATTAATGGTAGATTTCCATAAAATTTAACAAACTGAAACAGATACTTTCATTAACTTGAAGGCCGTATTAATTAAGAGAAAAGCATTATTTCCAAACACGCTAGGCAGCAAATAGTTAGGGGGCAAGAGAATCATTGTAAAATCATTGAAAAATCAATATTACCATCCCATTTCGCTTGCAATATATATGTTTTTACTTAATCTAGGGATACCGACGTTTATTTAAAATTAAAAATCATCATGTTTTGCTCCCCAAATACTGAGATAGAACATCTTCATGTTGTTGAATCATCTTATTAATGTGGAACATCTATCATCATAAAAAATGTCTATTCTGGAGCTTTTGTTCATTTTACTATCATTCATTTGCACTTGGAATTAATATATTTGTTGAAAGTATAGTTCTGAATAATGATCATAAATCATATCGGATTACGTCCATCCAAGTTGATTCTACTACAAATTTTGCATACAATAATCTGCTTAGAAAGTCGTCAACGGTTTGTACTTTCAACCTCTTGTATTCAGGTGTTCCATATAGTACATTCAGACAAACGCTCCTCATGTCCACGTTACGCATTTTGCTGCGAGTTAAAGCAACTCAAAAATACGATTAAACTTCCAGTTGTCCAAATGCTTAGCACGCTATCAAAGTCTCCACTATTCTCATAGGGAAAAAATCAAAACTTTCCTCACAATAGTTTGTTTAATCAATCACAATAATTACCATTGCGAAACAAAGCAACATGTTTAGAGAGTTGCATTTGAAATAATCCAGTTGACTCCCACTTTCCTAATTTCTTATTTATGTACATAATCCCTATTGTAGTACGATCTTGTCTCGTTAATTAAGCAAATCTTTGCAATGCACCACCCACAAATATTTCATAATAGGGTCAAGTTTGCACCTTGACTGGAGAGGTACTTTCTTAAAGATTCATTACACTTATACAGGATGGTTCTTATTCCTAATAAGTGTGTACAAAGGCCGAGCCGCCATGTAATACCTTTCGCAAAATTATCAAAATGGGTAAGGCAAGTGAGTCATTTTACTGATGATTTGTTGTAGCAAAATTTCGGCGAGTGGGTTAAGGTTGATAAGAAAGACGACTTTTAACAATTAATTATTTGTGGATAGGTTTCGTAGGTACTTTTCCACTACTGCAAACGTTAATGTTTAGCTGCAGCTTATTAGTTTTCGAGCGATGCATCAAGCATCTTTAGACAGTAACAATCCAGTCGGAATGGGGAAGTTGTTAGCTCGAGAAATTCTGTTTCATTTAATTGACACTTTAGTGCTTGTTAGACTTGTAATGTGCTCTTGACTTCTTGGAAAATGACAATGCATCCGGGATAATTGATGATTTTTTTCGTAGCTAATAGATCATCTTCTATCACTGGTGGGTGGTAATTGAAGTAATATTTTCGTGTCGTTTATGACAATCAATGCGATGAAGGATGCGTTCGAATGTAATATTATTAATAAATAACCGCATTTTAAATATAAATTCGAGAGGCCCTATTTAAAAAAAAATAATTACTTATATGCTCCATAAGAATAAGGAACTAAGCTTATAATTTTATGACATTACAAATCGATCTATAAGGTGTCGCGTTCAAGCACATAATCCAAAGAATAATGCGAAACTATTTGGCTTGAAAGAAAACAATCTGACCTGACATTGACCTTATTAAGAAATTCTTCACAAAGCTTGTTTTCGTAATATCAGAGTCGTACAAATGTTTGTACAAAAAAAGTACAAGTTTTTGTAATATCGGAATATGGGAAATTTTACGTTTGATTTTAATGGATCTTGCTGTTTGTTGGGTTTATTCCGAACTAAGAGATCGTGTTTCATCCTCTTTCGATAATTGGTAAAACAACCAGAACTTTTTACTTGCTAGTTAAAAATAATTCTTTTTTTTTCGTATTGGTACCTTACAAGTTTTTACGCAAAAACTATCTGCCTGGGCAGAACCAAAAGTATGTATTGTCTGGGTCTGCAGTAGGTGAGGAAAAGCTCTTTGCTTGACATCGAAATTATTATATTTCATTCAGCAATCCGGATATATTAACCCATTTGTTAAACAACACTTAATCATGTCCGCCTATTTACTTGACTAGACAGAATGATAAGTACCAGTCGCAAAACAGTGAAAATTTTCATTAAAATCCGATCAACCTATTTTTCACGAAGGTGCCGTAGTAAGAAAAACTGCTTATTAAATAAAAAGCTCCATCGATTGATTTTTGACGCATCATTTAACGACTTTAACAGATGTTTTATTTAAATGATTTCTGATGTGTTTCCGCTATGTTTTGTAACTAAATCATATAAACACAGGTAGGCGTTCAACGGAACATGACTTGATTAACGTCTCAAGTATGTTGCCTAAATGTCGACAATGTTACGAATATTTGGCCTTTATCATTAGGTAAGCCGCAAATATGTAGGAGATAAAAATATTGATTTATTCCAGCTGAATAACAAATAATTTGTGGACAGAATGCATTGTGGAAGATCCTAAGTTTGCTTTATGAAATTTCGGAACCATTTGGAAAATAAGCTGTTGATCTTCCATAAGGTTCAAACACTGTACAAAATACTATTGAAAAATTAAGCGTTTTTGATGAGGTTTGACTACTTCCAACTCCAAAAAAGAAAAATTAGGCCGAAAACAGAACACTTTTCTCGTTGTGGTTTCGAAAAAATTTCAAATGAATTTACGGCTTTTAAATATCAAGTTAATTCTTGTAATAAATTTTCACTATGAACAGTTGGCTGAAAACAACTCAAAAGACGCTCGTTATTACTGGTTTTGAGTTATCAACAAGTATCGAACATCTAAAGCATTTAAACCAAACAAGGGCAACATCTAATGTTCACCAACGTAAAGAAGTGCTTCTGCTAATCCAAAAGCCATTAAACCAATATCTTTAGATCTAATTAAACTTCTAATTTCGTTTCCATTTGGTGAACGTGACACACACGAAGATCATTCGAGCTTTCCTAAATATATCCATTTCAGAAAGTACTACAACTACGGTTACTTTTTTATTTGTTTGTCGATTCGTGTGTGGTCCATATACTGAGCATGTTTGTATTTACTGAAATCGATTTCGAACTAATACGCAATTGCACTTCAATGTGAGCTATTAAGGCGATAATGGGTCTGGCTGAGAACGTATATATTTTTTGCCTAAAAAGCGTGGTAAAGTTGAATTTTATCAATTTTTCATTCCCCTTTAAAACAGTTTCACTTTCACAATTTGAAATGGGTGTCTATTAAAATATTTTAGAACCCATAAACTGATTTTCAAATGCTTTCGTTCGGACGTTGCATGCATGAAGGATGTAACGTTGTTTTACGTGTCTGCAATAAGAAAACCGCAAATTCGCAGTCGATGGTAACGAGTTTAAACAATTTTACCATAATAATTATCGACTAATTATAGTTGTGGCTGACTTTCAAATGGACGATATAAGTCTAAACAATAGAAAAGCGGAATCAATTATGTTTTTTGTCTGACAACAACGCTCTAAATTGTGATTTATTTCCAACAGTTAATGTGAAGGCGGACAAAAAAGGATTAATTAAATAACGTTTCTTTTCCACTAAAGCTTTCAATTTCGGACGCGCATAATAAGTCTTTTTTCGATGGTCATTGATTAGTTAATAGGAGCGTGTCTTGATTTTTTGCCATATTGGTTAAACAACTCTAGTAAAGTAAATATTTTCAAGTTCTTACCTGTTCTAATCGATTCTTTATCGTCATCGGAATCACTATCGATATGAGGTATAGAACCGACAAATTCGAACATGGGACTAGTCTGTATCGAACTGTCCTTTTTACTAACGTTATTATCCGGAAGTCTACAAAGGCACTGACAGGAACACTTCACTAATTCCTCCTCCAGTCTGTCTAAAGGCAGGTACTGGTGACATTGAGGACACGGAAACGTTAAGTCGTCCAACGGAACCTGAAAAAGAAGACATTTATCGTAGACACATTCGTATTCGTTAGTTCATTGCTGCTGATTTATCAAACATTGGAGTCGTTTTATGTGAAAGTGGTGTTTTTGTGATAACAATGAATATAATTTACCATGAACCTTTTCCAAAAAAAGCTGCTAAAAATAACATTGTTTTTATCATTAAAGATGTTTGCAGTTAATGAAGTTACAAACACAATTACTTTGAAAATGATGTAAGTCCACTTTCCTGAAAGACATACTATGATTTAGTGCAAAATTGTGCTACGGAATTTATTTCATAGGTGTTACATTG